TTGTTTTTCTCCCTAGAAAATACCAAAGGGGGACTACTAGCCTATTCAGCAGACCTCAGAGGTGGGAGAGGGGCCTCTAGGCTGACACTATGGTGCAGGTCGGTCTAACTGCTTTCCTTCTTTGAGCTCTCCCAGGATGTGCAGTGCGAGGGGAGGGGGTGAGGGGAGCAAGGAAGGAAGGGCCTGCCCTCCCCCACAGGTGAGGACAGCAGAGGCACAGTGGGAATTCTGCCCAAGCACAGCGCTGCAGGCCTGGCTTTCCCCCTAGGATAGGCACATTGCCTGTTCTCCCAGGAGGGGAGGTCCAGAGCTCTGTGAAGACATGCAGCTCCAAACAGTTCCTGGGTCTGTTGGTCAACTTGCTTCTTATTTTAGAGTGGATTTCTGGACCTATATGGTGTGTGGGTTGATGCCTGCTTAGGTAGGAAGCAGGGAGTCATTTTCATTTAAGTTGATGGTGACCCAATCCTGTCATTCCAGCTGGAGGTAGAGGCAGGAGGAACAGGGAGGAGTTCAAGGTTATCCTTGGTTAGGAAGTGAGTTGGCCAGCCTGGGCTACATGAGACCCTGTCTCAAAAAATATTTGGGAAGAGTGATAGTGGGAGGGGGCGAGAGGAGATCATGGGGTGTGGGTAGAGAGATGGCTCCATGGTTGACAGTGCTTTTTACTTTTTGGAGGACCTGCATTCTGGTCCTTGCACCCACCCACATGGTGGTACACAAACATCCTTAACTGCAGTTCCAAGGGATGTGGCCCCATCTTTCCATGGGCAACAGGCCTGCCCATTGGTGCATGTACACACGTGCAGTCAAAACACTCATGCACTTAAAAATAAAAATACAGCTGGGGGTTGGTGGCACACACCTTCAATCCCAGCAGGCAGATCTCTGTGAGTTCAAGGCCAGCCTGGTCTACAAAGCGAGTTTCAGGACAGGCTCCAAAGCCTGTCTCAAAAAACCAATAAATAAATACATAAATAAATATACATGAGTATAAAAACATTGAAACAGAAACCATCAAATGAAAAATGTGAGAGGGTAATGGATGAATGTGAAATAAAAATAAATTATATACAGGAATGAAAATGTCCTAATGGGACCTATTGCTACAGATAGCTAATATGTATTCAGAAAATATGAAAAACAACCAGCAGCTCTCCTTTGCCAAGAATGTGTTCTGTGTTCAGCACCACACTCAGCAACTTCCTCAGCATCCTGAGAGATTTCCCATTATCTACCGTGTTCTTACGGTGCTGGGAAGGAATTCACAGGAGTCCTTGCCAGACGCTCAGGCCTTGTAATTGCATGTAGTACTTGAGGGTGCTGTGTTCTAGCAGACAGGCTCCACAGCATGTCTAGCATTGAAAGGCCCATGCTATTTGCTGAAGCAGGCTTTGGTGCTGCACCTGCTTCACCCACAGAGGCCTCCTCCATATACCTCCTTCTTTTCCTTTTATCCACCCACACACTTCCCTACACATCTATCCATCCATCCACCCACACATTCACTCCCCCTATGCCTTCCTTTTCTCTTTCCCATCTTTCTCTTATTCCTTCCTCCCTTAAATATTATGGAGACCCGCCTTGCTCCATATGCTGTGGGTACTTGAGAATACAATGGATGGAGATGCTGCTGAGGATTGCACACATCAGCAGGGTTGAGGGGCAGTGATAAGTAAGCAAAGTAATAAATAAACAGAGGCAGTCATGGTGAGTAGTAGAGATTGCCAGCATAAAGTTCCATGGAGCTGGGAGTGGCAAGACACACTTATCATCCTGCACACACACTTGGGAAGCTGAGGAAGAATGGTCAAGGCAACAGGGAAAGTCTGTGTCAAAAATAAAGGGCTCATTGGGTGGTTAACGTAGGTCTTCGAGGGTGGGGTTCTGTCATCTGCGTTATTGGAGATCTAGATGCTCCCTTCCCACTTCTGGACAACAGCTTAGGCAATACTTGGCTGTGGGCTGTGGTTTTAATTGTTAACAGATTATCCCAGAGCCTGGGAGCTTGGCAGATGCTCTTCAGGAGTTGTTGAGATGTTAAATCTTTCCTCTTTTAAGTCAGGTTCTCTGGAGCAGTTTTTTGGTATTTGAATCCTGCATGGTAGGGCTGAAAGCACTGTGTGTGTGTGTGTTTGTGTTTCAATATTCATGGGCAGGGGGTTAGCTCATTTGGTACTTGCCTAGCATCATGAGGCCCTAGGTTGCAGCCCCAGCACCTCACATGCTAGGCATGGTGACACAGACCTATGTGTCACTTGCACTCTGGAGGTGGAGATAGAGGGATCAGAAGGTTATCACTGACTACATAGGGAGTTTCAGGCTAGTCTTGTTTATATGAGAGAGCCTGTGTCAAAAAGCAAATTAATTTCAATATTGAAGTTTTATTTCCTTTTTTGGGGGGAGGGCTTCTCACTATAGAACTCTGGCTGGTCCTCCATCATTATGTAGTCCAGGCTGGCCTTGAACTAGCAGAGATCTATCTGCCTCTGCCTCCTGAGTACCATGACCCCCTCCCCACTTTTTGTTTTGTTTTTGAGACAATATCTCTTCAGGTAGCCCAGGCTGGTTTTGAACTTCCAACCTTCCAGCTTCAGCTTTCTGAAAGCTGGGCTCAGAGGTGCACACCACTAAACACAGCTTGTTATAAATTGTATGAATTTTTTCTCTCTCTCCCTTGTGTGTGTGTTCTGTGCAGAAACCCCACCAATTTTCCAATCTTCCTGGGAGAATATAGGCACTTTCCGGCTCTGCAGGAGAGAAAGGTGAGCTAGTGGAGTTAGTTTTAGCCGAATCAGGATAGTGATTCCAATTCCTTGGTGACGTGGTTGATGAGTCTGTGGGGTGGAAGTTTTCACACAGTGGTTTGGAAGACGTTATAGTCAGACAGGGAAAGCTTCCATCTGTCATTTTTACTCACTGCGATGACAACTGAGACATAAATGAGGATGAGACAATGTCTTCACTACGCAGTAGAGGTGGGAAGGGGGAGAATATTCCAGGCAGAGAGGGGTCCCTATGTTCAAGAGTCACGTAGTGTCCAGCCGACAGAGGTGGTAAGGTCATTGTGTGCGTTTGAGGGCCAGAGCTTCTACAGCTGAATCACTGTGGGTGTCCTGTAGTCATGGTCTATCCGTAGGGTGGAGCCTCCAATTTCTTGATCACACAAGTGTTTTGCATCTTGTTAATAGTCCTCCCTCCTGCTGAGGTTTTTTTTTTTTTTTTTTTTTTTTTTTTTTTGTTAATTCTGCAGTGAAGCTGATACAGGATCAAATGGAAGAAAGAAAGGAGTGGTTGGTGGTTCCAGGGAGGATTCTGTGGGCCTTATGCTTCTCCTATGCTGGGGCAGGGAACTCAGTGGATTCCCTCCTTAGTATGAAAAACAACTGAGCTAGGGCTGTATGGTTCAGTCGTCCTAGGCTGTCTAGTGAGTTTGAAGATGGCCTGTGATACACCAGACCTTATGTCAAAACAAAAACTCCCCATTTTATAGTTGTTTCTTGCAGGTTGGCGCTGAGCTAAACAGTCTGATCCCTGTTGATTTGGGCATATCAGCGATAAAAATTTTTTTAAATTACATTTTCTTTTTTCTTCCTTCTTTCTTTTTTTCCCCCCCCTTCAGACAGGGTTTTTCCTCTGTGTAGCTTTGGAGCCAGTCCTGGAGCTCTGTAAGGCTGGGCTGGAACTCACAGAGCTCTACCTGCCTCCTGAGTGCTGGAATTAAAGGCTTTTTTTTTTTTTTTTTTTTTTTTTTTTTTTGAGACTGGGTTTCTCTGTGCAGCTCTGGCTGTCCTGGAACACCTCTCTGTAGATCAGGCCGGGATTAAAGGCCTTGTGCCACTACCACCACCTCCTGGTATGCAGTGCTCAAAGGATGTTTGCAGGACAGTTGTAGGAGCCGCTTCTCTTTCCACCAAGTGGGTCCAGGGGACTGAACTCATGTCAACAGGCTAGGTGGTTACTTTACCAGATTAAGACTTTGAGGAGTTTGTCCCCAGGGCTTGCCCAGCACCAATCACCTCTCATTTCCTCTTTTGGGGGCCTTTTCTGCTGTTCCCGCCTCCCTCCGCCTCCACCTCAGGCAAGAGTAATGAAAGAATGGGAAATCGAAAACTTGTCCGTGGCCTAGGGGGGAATTTCTTGATCTGGACTCTCCAGCCTTCTGCTTCTGGGGTCCTAAGAGGTTCCTGACAGGAAGCCCCAAGAAGGTGGGTGGGGGCAGGCCAGGAAAGGCGGGGGTCCTGGGGAAGAAGGGGCTGGGTGGGGGTGCTCATCAGGGCTCCTCAGTTCCTCTGGGGTGGTGGGGAGATGTTGAGTTTTGGATGTTCTTAGAGTCCTCTGCAAAAGCTCAGAATTTAGGAGAACTCTGGGAGCATTCCAGGGATGGAGAGCTATGTGTTGGAAAGAGAGACAGGGAGAGACACACAGGTTTGAGCATCAGAGATTGAAAAACAGAACTGAAGAGACAAAGATGCAGAGAATGAAGAATCTTCAGGCAGGACAGTCCCGCCCTGCACCCAAACCTCATAACAGAGAAAAGGAGGAAAACAGACTATAGATTCAGCGGAGACCAGGGAGGGAATGGCTCCCGACATCACATGGTCCTCATATAAACAACTGTTTAATGTGTCAATATTAATAAAAAGGAAGCGCGCGCGCACACACACACACACACACACACACACACACCTAAAAGGAGGGAGGAGGAGGAAGAGAAGAAGGAAGAGGAGGAGGAAGAGGGAGAAGACGAAGAAGAAGAAGAAGAAGGAAAAGAAGAAGAAGAAGAAGAAGAAGAAGAAGAAGAAGAAGAAGAAGAAGAAGAAGAAGAAGAAGAAGAAGAAGAAGAAAACAGACACTGGGCCCGGACACTGGGGAGGGACTAGAGAGGAGGAAGGGAGAAAGTTCCCGGAGTCGTGGGGCGGAGCTAGGAGCCCGGGAACCCCACTGGCCATCCTCCACTCTCTTCTTCCTCCGCCTGCCCTGCCCTATAAAGCGCGGGCACAGGCGGGAGACAAGCAGTCCTTGACCATGGCCATGGACCAGAGCACACTGAATGCGGAGGACGCCACGGAAACCCGGCATGCCGCAGGTACTGTGCACCCCGCAGATGCTGCGCTCCCCGCAGTTGCTGCGTTCCCTTCAGAAACAGCGCGTCCAGAGTGTGCTGAGAACCCTGAGGATGTTGCATACCACCACAGGGTTAATGTTCGGGACCCCGAGGCCGCTTGGCTGCCCGCCCAGCACTCGTGTTCCCGCTGTCAGCTGCTCTACTGGGTAGGAGCCTTGGTGTTACTGCTTGGGGTTGTCTGTGTCCCGATCGCTTTCTTTACCCGCATCCCGACCCTGCCGACATTCACCACCTCGCCCACCCCGGGGACCTCAGAGAAGACTTCAAACTTGACTGCCACTCCTGTTCCTCTAAATGGCTACCCCCAGACTACAGGGCAGGTGAGGCATGTCCCATCCCTGGGAGACCCTTTCTTACCTTCTGAAAGTATCCCTCTGCACTGAAGTGCCCCCACCCCCACCCTGTGTGCGTCAACCAGGCTTGAAGCGCCCCTTCTCTATCTTGCACTTAGAGAAGACTCCTTTGCGTCTTAACCCCATGAACGTCCTAAGTAGATATCGGACCCCCGGAATGACCGACGACGGAAATGCACTGCATTTCCCTATAGTCCCTCTGGGGCTTTTCTCCATTCAAAGTTGAAGGGCACCCCAATGTGCCCAGGGCCCTATGAATCCCCACCTGCTCCTCTAGGATGTAGGGGAGCATTTACTTTTATTCTTTTTCTCTCAGGGCTCTTCCGTGTTCGCCAATCTACAGGCTAAAAACGGTAAGTGCGCCTGATGTCTTTCCCAGCGAGTCCTGCAGGGAGGTTGAAGAAGGGCCACCAACTGTCACCCTTGTGAACTCATCTGGGTTCTCAGATAATTGGGACTTCTCACCTCCAGCCTGGTTCTGGGAGATCTCCCTACCTCCCTCTCGTCTTCCCTCCCTCCCTTCCTTGCACGTAGCCCAGGCTTTCCTCAAAATCTTTTTGTAGTGAGGCTGGTCACCCGGATAAGTTCAGGGCTTCCAGCACTCTTCCTCTTGAGCCCCAACCCTAGCCACTAAGTTCTGGGTCTTCACTCTCCCCCTCCCCGCTTCCCAAAGTCTCTCCCAGTTTTGTTCATTCCTTACCCTCCTCCCTTGAGTTCTCACTTTCTCCTTTTGTCCTCTCACCCTCGTCACTCTCTCCCAACCCTCCCCTTCGCTATACTCTTCTCACTTCCTCAACCCCCCCCCCCACTCCTTACTCACCTCCTCCCTGGAGCTCGCCTGCATCTTCATCCTAGGCCCATCTTCCCCATCCCCTTTCTTATTCCACACCCACTGTCCTGGATTATATCCCTCCCTCCTTCAAAGTGCTCCCCCCATGGTCCCCCTCTCTATGCCCATTGCTCTCAGCAACTCACTGTTCTTTTTCTAGAAGCATCGCTGTTGCGCAATAGGACCCTGAGTTGGCATAGCCTAGAAGGGGCTGGGAACTCCAAACTGTACCGGGGTCTGAGGTACGATGAGGAAAAAGATGAGCTGGTGGTGGACAATGCTGGACTCTATTATGTGATTTTGCAGCTGAAGCTCAGCCCTGTGTCCAAAAACACAGACCACACGGTGTGGGGCCAGGTCTCTCTTGTTCTGCAACTGAATCCCCAGGTAGAAAACCTTGACAACTTGGCGCTGACTGTGGACCTGTTCCCTTGCTCCATGGAGGCCAACTTAGTGGAAGGTTCCTGGGGTCACCTGATACACCTGAAGGCTGGCCACCGCCTCAGCGTGAAGCTGAATGCCTATATGCATGGAGCTCAGGAAGCATACAATGACTGGCAGCTCTCTCAGACTACTATTACCAGCTTTGTACTCTTCCTTGTACAACCTGAGACCTCACAGGAATTGTCATCCACAGGATAATGGCACATGCTGCTGCCAGCCACCCTTCTTATGACTCCTGGTCACTGAGACCCCACGCTGCTATATCTCATGGGACCTGAGAACAGGGTCCTTCCTTTTCCAGTATCTCCCCACACCCTGTCCCTGACTGGACTCAGTATTTATTGTGAGCATAGCTCAGATAACACTTTATATAATTCATTAGGCAGCATTAGCAGACTGCTGGGCAGGTGCTATGGAGAAACCAGTCATCAAAGTTTCCTAAAGGAATCTCTTTATTTATATTAATATGTGAAAAATAAATGTATTTGTAAACAAGTCTTTTTCTATTATTTTTGTTTAATTTTTTAAGTGTTTGTGTCTATGGATGAGGTGCCATACCTGTGTATGTGTGGTGTGCATGCTCAGAGAGGACAGAGATGGACACGAGGGTTTTCCTCAGTCACTTTCTGCCTTTGAGACAGAGTCTCTCACTGAACCTGGAACTCACTATTTCTGCAAGGCAGTCTGGCAATCAAGCCCCTTCATCCCTGGGCATGGCCCTCCACTCTCTTGGGATTAGAGGTGCTTTTATGTGGGTGCTGAGCACCCAAAGTCAGGTTTGTAAAATAATTGGCTGAACTATCCCTTTTTTGAGACAAGAGTCTTGTGTAGTCCAAGCTGGCCTGAAAGTCCATATTTGCTGGGGATGGAACCAGTGTCTTGTGTCTGTGGGCCTGTGCTCTATCTCAGAACAGTCTATTTCTAGGACTCCAGATGTGAAAAAGCAAAAAATAAGAATAAAGCAAAAAACCTCCAATTATCCAGGTTTGGCAGAGCCAAAGGCATATACTATCTCTGGTGTGAAAGTGTATGATTTAGGATGTGATGGTGTTGGACTCTGTGTGCAAGCCCAACACCATCACATCATAGAGACAGAACCCGTTGTAGCAATATAATTATAGATTTGGACAATGAAGGAGAATTTGTTAAGGAAGTCATCCCCCTCCCCCCAGGCAAACTAACAAGTCCCTCAACTGCAGTCCCCACCCCCAACTCCAGGTAAAGGCAAGGGTGGGAACTCTGTGTTTGTGTCTGTAAATCAGATACCTGGGGGTGTGGAGCCACACTGAAGGCCTCCCAACGGAAGCCGAGGAGTGATGTAATTCAGGCTGGCAACAGCATATTTGTAAACTCAACTGATATGTTAAGCATTTCCTCACTCCCTGTGAGTCACCCGAACTTGACTTGAAACTGCAGCCACTCTGTGTCTCAACAGATTTTTAAAAAATTTCCGTTTCAGTATTTCCTAGCTGTGACTTCAGGTAACTTACCTTCCCAAGGGGGGAGGGTAGTGGAAATCCCTCAGTCACTCCCACCCAACCTGGATTCTGTGCTTAGAGACATCACAATTTGACCGGCTGTGCACTGGGTGTGATTTATTGCTTATTGGGGATTTAGCCAAAGGAAACAGTAGTGCTGAAGTTGGCTTTTGATCTGTTCTTCGAGGGTGACAAGGGTGACGAGGGGACAGTCTGGGAAACCTGTATTCAGCAAAGCAGTTTCTCATTGACGGGCAGCCCGTGTGCCGAGTGCCATGGGCTGTCCGTTGTTACACTCAGAGGCTGGGGCACACACAGGAGACCCTGGCTTTCATCATAGCACCACAGTATTACTGCAAAAATTGGCATATATCTGTACATATAAGCCTAGATTTGCATAAGTCAGGAACCAGAAAGCATATGTGGTCCATGCCTCCCCCACTTTCTTGATATATGTGGGTCAGAGGTCAATGTCAAGTGTCTTCCTTAATCCCCTCCATTTGGTTGTTTGAGTCAGGGTTTCTCTTCTTTCCTTTTTATTGAGCATAGATTTTTTTCCTCATGCATATATCCTGATTACAGTTTCTCCTCCCTCCCCTCTTCCCAGTCCCTCTCTTCCTCACCTTCCCTCCCTATCCACTTCTTTTCTGTCTCTCAGACACAAATAGGTTTCTTAGAGATGCCAACCAAACGTGACAAAATAAGTAAGACGAAGTAAAAGCTTCCATGCTGAAGTTGGACAAGGCCACCTAATTGGAGGAAAGGCATCCCAAGAGCAGGCAAGAGAGTCAGAGACCCACCCATTGTCACAGTCAGGAGTCCATTAAAGAAAGGGCTAACAGAGGAAGGACCTGGTGCAGACCCCTGTTGGCCCCCTGCCTGCTGCATCAGTCTCGATGAGCTCATATGTGCTTCCGTAGATGATTCAGAGGGCCTTGTTCTCCTGGTGTCCATCTCCTCTGTCTGTCTATCTGTCTGTCTGCCTCTCTCTCGGCTTTCTGAGACAGGATTTCTCTGTGTAGCTCTGACTCTCCTGGAACTCACTCTGTAGACCAGACTGGCTCCAAACTCAGAGACTCAGAGATTCACCTGCCTCTGCTTTCTGAATGCTGGGAAGTGCTCTCTCTCTCTCTCTCTCTCTCTCTCTCTCTCTCTCTCTCTCTCTCTCTCTCTCTCATACATTCAGAGTCTATTGGACTCTTTCTGCCTCTACTTTCACGGAATTCCATGAGCTCTGAGAGGAGGGGTTGATGGAGACCTCCCATTTACACTCTCTGCATAATGTCTGGCCTTGGGTCTCTGAGGCAGGTCTCTTGTTGAACGTGGAGCTGACTCTTGTCTCTGCCTCCATAGTGCCAGCTCCACACCACTGTCCCTGTTTCCATGGCCATGGAAGATTCAAACTCAGGTCCTTGTGCTGAGCCGTCTTCCTCAGCCCCACTAGTGCTGCTGTCTGTGGGTTTAATCTGCTCTTGATACTCCAGGAGCTTACAGTGAAGATGCCAGTGGTACAAAGTCTGCAGCTCTGCCCTTGACTGCATTTCTGTGGTTCACACCTTTCAAAGATGGGGGCAGAAGGGCAAAGCTGGGAGCCTTCCACTCTTCCTTGGGAGTGTGTGCTTGCTGGGCTGGGCAGTGTTGAAGGAGTAGAGATGAAACCTTCTTTCTACAGAGCACTGTAGAGCTGGACAGAGCTGAGTTCAAACTCTGCTTCAGCTAGTGCCAGCTAAGCTGTGCATGCTTGGCCAAGTGCCTTGGCTTCTCTGGGCCTGCTGTTTACAATAACGAACATGGAAGCTGAGTTCATCTCAGGGGCTCTTGGGGATATTAAATGAGATATTAGGCTTTTTTGACACAGTGTTTGACACAAAATGAAAACTTGGAGGTTGTTATTATACCAATCAGAGGGAGATGGTTTCAGAGGTTCTACTACCATGTGCCAAGGTCTAGAGGCAGAAGGGGTATGGGCCAGAAGATCAGGTAGCGATCCATACCAGTTTGTGGATGTTGGGACCCAAATCTTTTCATAAAAGCAATAGAAGACCTGGGGAGTGAGGTGAGTCAGTCAGTAAAGTATTGCATTCCTTGAAAGCACGAGGACCTGAGTTTGAAGCCCCAGAATCCATTTAAAAAGGCTGAAAATCGAACTGGAGAGATGGTCGGTGGATCAGGGCACCTACTGCAGTACCAGAGGACCCCAGTGCAGTTCCCAGCCCCCATTCTAGGTGGTCCACAAAGGCCTGTAACTCCAGCTCTGGGGGACCTGACATCCTCTTTCAGCCGGCCTTGCACACACGTGCACATACATATCCGCACTCCACACACACATAATTTAAAAGTATTTCTTAAAGAACACTGGGTGTGGAGGTGTACACATGTGACTGGCCTGTCTAAAGACACAGGGACTCTCCCTATCGGGCACCAGAGTGCTGAGAGAAGGGTACCCAGGAAACTTAGAATCTCCCCAGGAATCTCCAGGGGGTAGAGCTTGCCTCCTGGACAAAGATTAACACCTTGTTGGACTGCCTTGGCTGAGAGACTTGGAGCTGAGACAAAGATGGGCAGGAACACGTGGTGGCTGACTATTTCCTTAGCATTTTTCACTCTTTTAAAAATGTTTTTTTTTATTTTATTTTTTTTTTCTTATTTTTGGTCCAGACAGGGTTTCCCTGTATTGTTTTGGAGCCTGTCCTCGAACTCACCTCGAACTCACAGAGATCCACCTGCCTCTGCCTGCTGAGTGCTGGGATTAAAGGCCTTCGCCACCACTGCCCTGCTTGGTGCCACTATCATTTGGCTAATTTCGTTGTTTTAATAGACTTATTAAAGTGGTGGCTGAACCTGAGCTATTGGGGCACAGGTCGTGTGGTCCCTAAGACCAGTTTTAAATCAGCACTGGGGAGGCAGAGACAGGAGGGGCCCTCGAAGGCTAGTTAGCCTAACTAATGAGTTCTAGGCCTGTAGGAGACCCTGTCTCAGGAATGAAGGGGGATGGGACTAGAAATGGCACCTTCACAGGCACCTGTGCGTCTTCAAACATGCGTGCACACACAGAGGGATGGTGTATAAGCAGATCAAAAGTCTAGTTAGCTTGTTTGAGGGCTGCTCTCATTACAGGGCCAGCTTGGAAGGGGTGAACAGGAACAGAGACAGAGGCTCACAGAAGAGGAAAGTTATAGAAGAGTGACAGTCAGATGGATGGATGAATGGATGGATTGCCCAGTGATGATGGAGAGGCAATGAATGGATAACAAGTTAGTCTTTCTTCCTTCCTTCCTTCCTTCCCTTCCCTTCCCTTCCCCTCCCTCCCTCCCCTCCCTCCCTCCCTCCCTCCCTCCCTCCCTCCCTCCCTCCCTCCCTCCCTCCCTTCTTTCTTTCTTTCTTTCTTTCTTTCTTTCTTCTTCTTCTTCACCTGAGACAGGATTCTCTGTGTAGCCCCTGGTTGTTCTGGAATTTGCTCTGTAGACCAGGCTCAGAGATCTAGCCCAGCCAGGGCTATATAGGGAGACCTTATCTAAAAAACCCAATGGCAGAGAGCTTTCGTAGCTCTGAATTCTATCCCCTTTGCGGGCAAGGAGTCAGGACACCAGGGAATTTGTTTCGAGAAGAAAATGAGAAGTCGTGGGCTGGGGTGCCCGGTACAAGGAGAAACGAGAATGCCGACCAGATTTTGAATCACGAGGCCCCTGGTAGTTTCCTGAGAGTTCTCTCTGGCATGAATTGATGACTGATTGCATCACTGCAGCTCCAAATGCTAGTATCAAGTAAGGAACTTGAGAGGTCCTACACACAGCTTCTTGGTTTTATTTATCTTTTGTGGTGGTGAGGATTGGACCCAGGGCCTCCCACATGATAGATAAGTGCTGGAGTGCTGGCCACTGAATCATGCCCGCTCACTGGGGGATTCTAGGTGGGGGCTCCACCCTGACCACGCCCCTATCCCCCTCACTGGGAGACCCTAGGTGGGCACTGTACTGCTAATCCATGTCATGTCTTCTTTTAAATTTATTTTTATTT